ACCCAATTGCAACAACAGAATGGTCAAATTGCTCAAATTGAAGTTAAAGAGACTAAAAGATGATCTTGATTGAAAATAAAAAAGTAGTTTAAAGAAATTCTGTATAAATTAAAATTCATTTCGACTATCAAAGAAAATGGTATTTATTTTCCTTTTAGAGATTTTTGCTTTTTATTAGGTAATAATGCATCATCATTCTGCTTTCTTTTTCTAACATTTATTATTTTTCTTTTTTTAGATAAGTTTCCAATGTTTGAGCATCATTTATTTTGAAAATGTAAGGTGCAATTTTTCACCTTGTTCCTTTTTCAAAATACTTCTAATGGCACTATAATTTTTGGGTTCCATGGTAGATCTGATATAAATTAACTTAATATTATTATTTTTGTATAGGGATAGTTCTATATATCACTTAAGATAATAAATGAGATATTATAAAACTGTTAATTATGATCACATTACAAATGACTAAATTTTGATCCCTGAAATCCTTGGTAACACTAATGTTCACTTTGTCTGGTTTTGTTGCAGCATGCCCATATAATAATGTTTCCTGTTTTATTACATAGCAAAATTGTTTACCATCAGATCAATTGTTTAACTCTAAATCCTCATAAAAATTAACAATTCTTAATATGACAATAACAAAATAATAACAACAATAATAATATTCTGTTTTATCACATGACAAGATTGTATAGTCATTTAACTCCAGGTTTTTTTTTCTTTGAAACAAGCTAATTAATATAATATAATAGTAAAATGATAATATTTTCCATTTGTTGCATACATACCCCTACAAAAAGTATCGACTCGATGATCTGCCAAAATAATCGAATAAACGGTAATACAAATACTCGTTTTTTTTTTAAGCAAACCGATGCTGTGTATTAGTAAGAAAATGTTTGTTGAAATGATTATCATAATAATCTAAAATATCACATTGGGCCGATTGTTGTTGATAATTCTATGATGTTTAAAAGTCAAATTAAAATTTTTCGAAAATTTTTTGAAAAAGTAGCACTTAGAGCTATTTTAAGATACGATGTTTTAACACATCTTGAGAACTTAGAAAATATTGCTCCATTTGTTCTCAAATGTATATATATACACGTTCATAATTATTGATCAAATATTCATGGAGCATTGATACAAAACGTAAAAAAAATCGTAATGAATTTTTTATGCAAGACGATTATCATTATGCGTGAACAAACTTTAAAGGGCAATGCGGCTGAAATATTTAACCAAAACTAAATTTTTTTTTAAAAAAAAAAAAGATTGAACTTTCAATTTGTTATTTCAATTAAAAAATTAACAGACTTTGAATAATCGGACGTTGGGAAGCAGATGAAAGCGTTTATGACATTGCTGGTGCAATCAATCATTCTCAGTCACAAGTAACTCATGCAATAAAAGCATTTAAGATCAAACTACTATTGCTCCCCAAAAAATAGAAATGAATTAATTTCTTATTTAATGGATGAATGGGTAAATCTTGATCATGATTATTTGCAAAAATTAGTAGACAGCATTCCTTGAAGGGTCCAAGCTGTAATTGAATCAAAAGGAAACCCAACAAAATATTGAATAAATGAATGAAATATTTATACTTTTTT